TTATTGAACATGAATAAATTGTGTTAATTTAACTCAATTGTTTAAGTTGCTGCCAAAGCAAAACATCTGTGTGCAACAAATGTCCACCATTGAATTAAGTAAATCCAACAACATATTTTTTTCAGTGAATGGAGCCTGCATTTTTTTCCTTTAACCTGTTCGAAATTTATAGACTTCAAGCCCATTAAACATAACTCTGATGGTGACGTCAGGGTTATTTTCTCAGATTTGATGAAGCTCCACCAGAGGAACATAAGACATACAACATATATATTCCATATGTTGCTTAGATCTGCTTTGATATAAACAAGACATGGCATCATCTGGCCACAGATCCATGGATCTGGGTGTCATGTGAGACTTACTGCAGTTTTCCTCGTCACTCCCATCAGGACAATCACTGAAGCCGTTGCAGCGGAAGCGTCCAATGATGCAGTGGACACCGTTAGCGCAGGCAAAGAATGTAGGAGAACACTTTGACTTGACCTTAGCTAAAGATATAAGGGTTGGGGGAAGTGGTGAAAAACAGAACAATGAATTAGTGTGTGCATGATGCAGAGACGGTGCAGAAATCTTTCAGACATCATGTTTTATGACAGCATTTGCCTTGGCTGTGATGAACAAGGTAAAAGAGAGACCTTCACTAGGAGACAGTGCTTGTATTACACTTAGGTCCATGTGTTTTTGTGACACTTACACAATTTTTCCTTTCTAGAACACCATGATAGATTTAAAATGAAACAATCAGGACACAGGAAGAGGAATAAAATCAGTGCATACGCTTTATCTTTGCTTCAAAGTGTTGAACAAAAACACTTCTTAAACCATAGTCCTCTACTTTCGGAGGCTTGAAATGTATTTGAACTATCCACTTTAAAGCAGTTTAATGTAACATAACTCTAGAACTGGCCAAATCAACAGTTTGGCACAATCTGTGAAAAACAACACAATGGTGAACTCAACAGCATATGGTCTAGATTTTATTTGAAATCAACAGTAATGATCACAGCATCGGTCATATGCTAAAGAAAATTCCCATCACAATATTCAGGATTTAATAAGGGAAACAAAGAGGCTCAGCACAAGGTACAAACCAATGATCAGTCTCACCGAAAGAAAGGCCAAATTAGACTTTGCCAAATAAACACACACACGTCAAAACATAGCTTTTCATCTGCCAGGTGATCAGATTAGCCTGTAACAGAACGACACAAAAAATGTGGATGTTATGGCTTATTATCAGAAACATAATCATCTGTAAAAAAAACAGCAAAGTTAGTGGTTTCCAATGGCAACGGGTCACTAGTTCTTACTGGTTATATTCCAAAGTTATCCCAAAGTGTTTAGGGCTATCCATTTTAAACAGATGCATCCTAATTAAGCATAACCGACTGGACAGTGCAAATAGAGATCCAATAGTAATGGAATATTTTCAGTTGCCCAAGTCAGTCATCTGATTTCAACCTGATCTAGAAGACATTTCACTTGGTAAACAGGTAAAACTAAGGGGAAATTAACCCATGATCAAACAATAACCAAAGACGGATGCAGGAAAAGGTTCAGCAAAACATCACAATGGAGAAAAACTCATTTTGGTGACATCCATGGTTCCTTGGCTTGATAGTCATTGCCTCTAAAAGATTTCTTCAAAGTATTAAAAAATAACAGCTTATGTATGATCATGATAATTTAAAAGCTGACAGTCTGTATTTCATTTGCATTTGTTCCTTTTCATATCTACTGCAGTTAAAAATTGTCATTGTCCAAAAATGTCAAGACCTAACTTTATACCTGCGTGTTCTAACATTCAAAGACACACAGCCATTCAATATTATATAATGTTCAAACAGTTGCTTACGGATAAAGAATCATTAAAAGGTAGCCCATTTTGTTCTGCATTGCTAATACTCCCATTTCCACAATTATGACACATAATGGGTAAGATCTTGACCAAAGAGTACTGATAAGAGGAGAGAAAAAAAATCAGTTAATGACAAAGAAAGTAAATCGTGTGGGAGAGGGTTTGTATGGATTCTGTCATTGATCAGCCTAAGCAGGCCATGGGCCTTATCTCTCAGGACAGCCCTGAGACTGAGTGAAGAGCTTGCAGAACATCAATGCCTGGCAACCTCAGTTAAGCACCAAGCCCTAGCTTTTTACCTCAAACTCATTGATCTTCCCTGGCAGAAGAAGAAAAGCAAGATAACAGGTAGATACAAGCAAAGACATCAGAAAAGACCCTGCAAAGTTACTGTAGAAGTCGGATTCCAACCAGGAAATACACACACACATTGCTGCAAGAAAACCATGGTTGCTATATTTACAGTTTGCATTACTGAGTTATATTATTATAAAATACAATGTTTCAGACTTGTGTTTCCCTATTCGAGACTTTTTTTTTTTTTTTTTGATTACCTACTGGATGCATTTTTCCCTTCCAATAATAAGCATTTAAGTAAAGCTGGCATTTGGAAATCTGACTTCTAATCAGAGCTGCTCTCATTGTAACAGTATTTACTAAAGACAGAGAAAAGAAAATCTAAGAATTACAACTAAGACATTGTTATGATGCTTTGGTAAATAACAGAGACGCATGCCAGTGAGGAAGTAGCATGATACATTTTATGAACACTTGGAAACAACAGAAGGATGGAGCAACCCACACATACAAACACACAGGGAGGAGGAAGTGAGTGGGCATGCTAGAAATGTCAAAGAAAGCCACCAAACCTTCTATGTGTTTTGTTTCCCTGTGTTGAATGCGGTGGGTAGAAATGGCTCGCTCATAGGCTGGCAATGTGCTGCTTCAAATGCCAGGGGTGCACATTTTTCCCTCTACAATTTATTGCGGTAGCCTGATTTATGAGCTCTTTCAAGCTGTGGCGATTATGTGTAGCAGCAGGGAGGGCAAGGCGCAATAACCACAAGGCCTTGGAGCACCCATCTCCAGGATGAAATGTAATCCTCTGGATGCGGGAGGAAGCTGGGATAGTGCCCGATCTATGTGTCTATAGTCTGGGAAACCTTTGTTTACCTGGCCAGCAGAGTCCCTAAACACCCAAATCTCATTTTGTGCAGCATATCACATTCATAAAAGTCTTCTTCTGTAGCTTTCAGGGATATTAAAAGATTAGTAATAAAACAAAAACACGAGCTCCTGCTGGGGGTTAAAGTGAGATTCTGCTGGCCACAAACAAAGGAAACATAATCCTTTGTTATCTATTTGTATTCATTTACACTGGTGTTTCTTCTTTTACCAATTTTCTTTTCTATTTCTATACATAAGAAAGAAATGTTATTGCTCTGAGATTCATGTGAATCCTAATTACCACTTATCCAGCTGGCTAGGATTCTTCCGACCCAGCGTCTGTGCACAAAATTAACTTAAAAGTCACATCAAGGGCAAGCTTATGAAGGGGAATTGGTGGGTGGGACAAACACAGCTGGCTGGACAGATATAGCTAATGTGCTTAGCTGTGTTTTTGGGTTGCATATCCCCTCATAGCCTAAGCCAAGCTGTTTATGAAGCAAAAATGCAAAAACTTAATTAGACCCATCAAACTAGAGTGGAAGAGATGGCAACACAAAACCATATATCCCGGGCATTAGCAGTTCAACTTTAAATACCGCTGCTGATCCAGGTAATGCTGATTGATTTCAGGTCCTCTGCTACACTCTTCAATTTACATTGTATAAGCATCGATTTCATCCTGCCTTCATCCCTTCTGTCATCACTGTTTACTGCTTTACTTTTGTGCCAAATTTTCTCTCGCTCCTCTAAGCCTTTGTAGAAGTTTGTTTACGAAAAGCAGACAGGGTGTTCAGTGGCTTCCAAACTTAGTTCCAGTGTTCAGCTGAGCAGCACAAATGAAAACGAATGGGGTAAGCAGTCGAGCAGATTTCGTGAAGTAAGACTACCACTTGCAGAAAAACATGCCTGGTTCACACTGAAGCTCACAGGTGGAGGACACACAAACACAGGCGCAAAAACACAAACATGTCTCTGTTTTTTGTTGTCTGATATATGCAATTGCACATAATGCTTGACATTTTTATTAAAAAGTATACTTCTGCTAAACACCTATGTAACAACTGTCTTTTCATTTTAACTTAAAGGTAAATAAATAAAAGAAGACTTGTTTTTTCCCCCTTTTTCATAATCTACAGGTTAATCGTAGTTCAAATCCTGACCTGGATTTGTAGCACCGTGGCATATTTTGTACTTAAATCATTGGATGATGCAACAGAAACTAAAACAGAGCACTGCTCTTTATATTTACCTCCCCTGTGGCTTCACTGTTCATGTCGGGTGGAATCCGACAACCCTGTTGGCGATGGCATGCTTTTGCTCTTCCCCCGGTGTGCGCCTCTATGCCCTTAAATTATTCTCCCCTGATTGGTTCTTCAGAGAACAGAATGTTCAGCTCAGGTAGTCGCAGCCATGATGGGCATGCATGACTGACAGAGTAAGGAGAAGGTCTCGCTGAAGAGACTAACAAGAAGGAAAACACTTGGAGTGAGGAGAGAACAGAAACTAAGAGTAGAAAAGACTGATGACTTCAAAGGTTTCTCTGACCTTGCAGAGTATTTCTGAAAGGAAGAAATCAATAGGTAATGGAGTCGGGGTGCAAGCAAAAAGTGCATGGGTAGTTTCAGTGCAGTGGGCCTAGGGATCAAAATAATCCCTACATTGCACTGTACATTTCACTGTCTAAGCCCTGCACACTCTTTTGTACAATACAATAGCACTCCGTGAGGGGCACTGCAACATTATAGAGCTGCCTTCATCTTAAGTGTTTACGGACCAATGGTGTTCTGCAAAGCCATCAAACTTTGTGCTAGATGGGGTAGCGAGAACGGCTCGTATACCACACAGCGAAGGCGTGTGTAAAATATCAGTGATATTTCAACAAATTCCAATAAAGGGAAGAGAAGCAAGGGCATATGGTGAAAAAGCAGCGCACGATCTGTCAGATAATAACGCTGCTGCAATATTCATCATAGAAAGCAACATACTGCTAAAATTGGCTCGTTTGAACTGATAGTGTCCAACAATGTGTTCTAAAATGACAAGACAGCATTTCTTATTCCTTTGAAGCATCAGCAGCAATCATTTTGGCTCATTTGTGAAAATCGATGGAACAAGGATAGCGTTCAGTCGAAAGTGAACAAAGAGTCAGAGAAGAAGAAAGACACGGCACCAGAGTGAAAGACTTCATGCAGGAACCTAATAAATATTTCAGCCCCGTTCCTTGGTATCAACTACACCAGCTTATTGATTAATCAACCATTAAGCTCATGGAATCCACCAGACTCTGACCCATTAAACCTTTGTCTGTTTTCCATCTTCTAAATTCTTTATATTTTAATATTTTATTTCTCATTTCTTTTTCATCGGGTAGGCTGATACCAAGACCGACCCCTCTCGGGATGCATGATATTTATATTGGAAACCAAACTGGATATTTGTGACTACAGATTTCTCAAAGTC